CGTGATATCCACTATCGCAATATAAGTCGTTATGAAAACCTAACGCAGCGTTGTGTCATAATACTGAAAATAAATAGATTCTTTCTCACTATAAATCATCTGCATATGGATAAACGTAGAGGATTTAGTTCTTACGACGCTGCAGTATCAGAGAGTAATGCGAAGCGTTGCTGTCGTGACATATCATGCGTATGTTTGCAGCTACATAGTATCTTTTATCAAGAAGATATCGCGACAAGGACGCATTTTCCCCCCCAACTTGCTTTGCGAACAAACAGAATGCCGAATTATTCTAACGACGAAAGTTTAGCACATATTTCCAAGTAATATAAAAAGTAATGACTGAGATAAAAAATTAAATCAACGAATTACATCGGTCAAATTCTGTACAATGAGTTGATTATAAAAAAAACAGCGAAAGTAGCGTTAAATTTTCGTTCATTTTTATCTTCGAAACGAGATCGAAACCCACTTTAGATAATCGCATTTTGCGCAATCGGGAAAGCAATTCGAGCGGACTTCGTAATCTATCCGATGAAAGAGCTTAATACGTTTTCATATTCGCTGGCCAAACTCGGAGTAAAAATTTCAAACCCCATCGCGCGTACGCATCCACGTTTGATACTAATTATTTAATTTGCATTGCATTAATAATACGATTTGGTGAGAGGTAGCGAATTGGGGACGGTTTCCTGAGTCGACGAGTAACGAGTTACTTCCCATTCGGATATGCAACTAGTTTCGTGTATCATTCGTAATGAAACGAATTGCATCGCAAAAATTACATCATCCGATTGCAACTTACATCAAACGGTAACGCTGTTTCCTGAAAAACGCGTATCCGTAATTAGCCGGAAAAAATGGATGAATTGCGAGGAATTAACTCTATGGTATTACTTTTTGTAATGTAAAATGTATTTTTGCATTGATTTATGCAAACGTTTCTTTCCTATTTTTCTATGTAAAATACAAAGAGAGAGAGAGGGGGGGAGAGAGAGAGAGAGAGAGAGAGAACATTACAGTGAAATTTTTATTGCAGAAATAACAAATAGAAAAAAATAAAAGAAAATAAAAAAATTGATAATTGTGATTGAAATAACGAATTCAATTAATTTCACTAACTTTGAATCGAGAAAAATAAAGGGATTTGATTGCATTAAATTCTGTAAAAATATACTTCAAAACAAGCTGAATAGAAATAGATTTTGCACAATCGATTGAATTCTTCATCTCTGAATTATAAATAAAAAATTGTTAAACCTCTTTCCATTCCTTTTTATAACGAAGCTTCCCGAATTGATAATTTCATATTGATCGCAAGCGATTGAACAATCTTTTTAATTACTTTTACAATATAGAACATAAATATCACGATGCAGTCAGTATTTTCAATGTGACGTGCAAAATAAATTACTCTAAAATATCTCTACTCCACTTTGATGAAAGAAAATCATTGTTGCATTTAGAAAAAACAAAACGAAAAGAGGGAGAAATGAGAGACGGGGGATGCAAAATATTTTGAACCGATCCCTAATATCGAAGATTAAAAAATGTAAGTAATAATGTAAATTCGGAATAAATTGTCATCGATTACTCTCGAGTCAACTACTTCATCTCCCTTACTGAAAGACGTCGAAACACCGTCGCGTGGCTTCCCTTCGGTCTTCTCTATGTCGTACGAGATTAGTCGCCTCACGCTCGCGCTCCGCCGAAGCGAAGCGGAATCGAGCGTGTAGGTTGGATGCGTTCGTGGCGAGGTAAGGCTGGCAGCGTATCACGTGGTGCGCCACGGGGTCTAAACGAGGTTAATCGGCAGACCAGCAGCGTCGGCGCATCGACGACGAGCGTGTGCTACGTCGTCCCCCGTGACTCCTCTCTTTTTCTCCGTTCCTTTCTCTCTCTCTCTCTCTCTTTCTCTCTCTCTCTCCCTCCCCCTCCCTCTCCGTCTTTATCCGTTCCTCTCGTATTCTCGCCTCTCGCCCTTTGCACTTTGGCCCTCCTTGGCAGTCGCGTGATCCGATAATGGCAAGAAGCGCGAGTTCCCGTAGCTCTCGATACGCGGAGTCGCGCACTCGAGAAATTCAAATGCGGTCGCGTCGAATATTCAAACTCGGACGTGCGTGCCACGCACAATGCGCTCGCGTGATCGCCGCTAGTCCGCGCTGTGGTAGCTGCGTGTTTGCGCGTATTTCGAAGTGGACGGGTGTTTCTCGAAAGCGCAACCGGCGCGAGGCGGCGGTTAGCGCGAAAATCACGTGCTCGCGAGCGACCGGCGAACGACGAGCGTGGCACGCGCCGCGAATGCAAAACGAGCTGGCGTTACCCGCGCGCGCGCGCGCGCAACTCCTTTTCTCGGGAATCGTTTCGGCTCAAACTCGAACTTTGAGAAAGGAAAGGGAGAGGCGAGCCGGAGAACGGACAACATTTAGAATCCATCGCGACTATCGCCGCGGAAAAGGTCGCGTTCCGCGCGCGGTCGCTCGACACGCGCGCGATTCGACGATTCGCGGATCGTTGCAATTGGCCGAGCACTTACCGATCAGCGGAAATATGCTGGGCTGGTCGAGCAGCGACTTGAGACTGTTTTCGACGAGAGTGGGAGAGGAGCGGTCCTTGTCACTCATTTCACGCACTGCGCCACGAAGCCTACTTAGCGCACACCTCGGGGCCTATATCGCCGCGGCACACACGCGAGGATACACTCGATGGCACACACCGCGCACGACTGTAGATAGATAGATAGATAGATAGATAGATAGATAGATAGATAGATAGATAGATAGATAGATAGATAGATAGATAGATAGATAGATAGAGAGAGAGAGAGAGAGAGAAAGAGAAGAAGGCACGGAGCGGAGCGGATCGGCGCGAGAGACAGACGGACGGACGCGAGTCGAAAGAGCGGAATCGACAAACTGGCGACGACGGAGAGAACGACGGGGGGAAAAAGATAGACGGATAGGTACGGGCAGGGATATGTACGGGTATTTTCCTCGCGATGGTACACACGCGACGAGCGTTGTACGCGCGCGCTTGGTCGTCTCCTCGCCGAGACAGGCACGATCGAAAAATATACGGCGGTACCAGCAGCGGACTCGGACCGGTCTTGCGCCCGCGGAGGAGAGGCCTATCGCCCGTCGCCGAACCTCTCGCCTCGCCGTCGCGTTGCTCTCCCGCACTATCTCTATCGGTGGATTCCCTGTACCCGCTCCTCTGGGCGCGTTAAAATAAACGCGGAGCGCTGGCCCCGTGCTTGGCGGTGCTCTTGAAAATCAATCTAAAAGTGGCTCGCCTCGTGGCGCGATCTCCTGGCCGACTAGCGGACCGAGTGCCGTTTCGAGCCTGCCGACGCCTGCCGCACTGATAACGAGCACCCGACCCTTGCCTTGCCTTGCCTTGCCTTGCCTTGCCTTGTCGAGAGTCGAGAGCCGAGAGCCGAGGGACGAGAGTGCTCGCCTCGCCTGTCTCAGCGTTATCAGACTGCGCGCGCAGCCGCGACCCCGCTCTCTCGCCGCGATCCCGCATTAACGCGCAACGCGACGCCGCATCGCGCCAGAAACCCGACGCCGATCGGTGCCGAATTGGATTGTGCCTCCGACTCTTCGATCGCAATTGCTTCGTCTCCGCGAAATTCCGGACTCCGCGAGACTCCTCGGGTCCTCGCTCCCCCTTTTCCGTCTCGATTCCTTTCGATTCTCCGTCTTTTGCGCGGTGGTCGTCGAACGACGTCGGGGGACGGGAGTAAATATTTACGCATATGCATGAAGGAAAGGTTTATTAAAGCGATGATTGCGTTGTGCGACGTCGAACACTAAGAGGCTTGAATGTGTCGATATGATTTTTGTGACCGCCTCCGATAAAGTGGATCTTTACGAGTGCGTGTTTACGGATATCGGGGTCATTTGTGGTCATCTCTTTTAGATTTCGTTCCAAACGACTTGCAAGATTAGAGAAATGACCCGATTTGTCCGTAAAGTCGAGACAATTATCGCAAAACGCGTGTGACAATTAATTATGAATAAATCTCTCTCTCTCTCTCGTTATATTTTTTCCTTATTTTTCACGATTTTATTTATACTGCACTTTGAATACTGTTATAGTATGAAAGATTGAACGGTTGGATTTTGACAAAAGTTTTTCTCTTTTTATATCAAGACTGTCATCCATTTAACGATAACATTTTTTAAATTTAGATCATCTTGTTGGTCCAATAATGCGATTAAAAAATCTCTTAATATTATAGCGATCTTTTCGAAATCTCGAATTGTTTGGATGAATCTATTTTTTGTATCTATTTACGTATGTTGATATATTTAGCTATATATGAGATATCAATCTATCTCGGTTATTTGAAAAGAAAACCTGTGTCATAATGTCCTATCTCGATAAGCGCTATCATTTCATGTAAATTAAAGTCATTTGACGTGCGTTAAACCTTCGTAGATAAGATAATTAGAGCTCCTATCTCGGATAAAAAGTGTGTCTGGATACATGCCTGTATGTCTGGTTGCTGTCTGCAGCTTTTCTTTTCTCTGCTAGATGTCTGTAGCGCTCAGTTTCTGTCTTATAAAGATGTATATATATTATATGGAATTTTAAAAAAATTTGTTTCTTGCGTTAGTAATTGCAAGGTAATTTTAAAACATAAGGCTGGAAAATATAAAATAATATTCTCTAATTAGTAATTATTTATATTTTTACGTTATTTATTTCTTAATGAATTATGCAAATTCAATAAAAACATTAAACATGCAAAAATTTCAATGTATATATATTTCTTATATTCAATGTAATTATATTAAAATACAACAATTATAAATATGAAGGAGATTTGTGTAGAGAAGCAAAATTAAGATAGGGAAAATTCCAAAAATCAAGATGCATGGCATATATATTCAATTGTTTTATATAATTACGAATGATAATGTGACAAATTACGAACAATGAGAAATATACAGAGAACAGCATTACAAATTCTAAAATTATGATAAAATCTCAGATCACGCGATATTATTATATAAAAAGATATGTTGCCCTCTAGTGAATTACAATACGCTTACATAATAAACATAGAGGGAGAAATTGTGAGGTTTATAGTTTTATTTATTAACTCCGAAGAGAATATCAAAAATTGAATATCTTTCAATGTGAAATCAATTCAACTTCATTATTTCCAATAGTCATATGCGAATAAATTGATTTTTACAGTTAAGTAACAGCTGTGAACAAATTAAAAATATTTCACATTGATATTAATATGCACAAGAAACATAGAATTACGGAAACCTATGCAACCCTTGCAAAATATAAGTTTTTGCAAAAGAAGAAACATTTGCAGCAGATTTTAATTTATCGTTTAAAGTAAAACAATTTCTTTTTTGCACGTATACTCCTCTAACATTCTCTCTTCCACATCTAAATTGTGTTATATGCACATTTAATAAATCAAATTTTATTAACTTAACTATATTTTGCGATACAGTAGTATAAATTATTAAAATTACTTTCTCGTTATTTTCGAAAATTAGATAAAATCAACACATGCAAGTCAAATAACAATTTAATTTACTAAATAATGACTAAATTAAACGATCAAATGGAAACGACCGCAAAACGTAAATAACGTCTATAAATTTTTAGTGATCGAAACTGCAGTGTAGACAAAGTTATTATCGACAGACGGGAAAAGTTTCATTGATACTGATATGTACGATATTCGCGAAACTACGAGAGATATGGCTGATTACAGATATGTCGAAAGTACAGTTCTTCTTTTCTATACTTACAGAATGGCCCCCGCATGATCTATGAAATTCGATTACGCAGGCATATATAAATTCCTGATTTTCTATCCGTTAATGTACTCCGAGATCCTCTCGAAAACATTAAACAAATTACATATGTGCATCGACATCTTTTCGAATAGCGACGATACGTAATCGCAGCTGCTATCGTTATATCAATGCTACGATTCTACATATTTTATCAACGTAAGAAAAGAGACCGCACGAGAGATTGCTTATAGGAAATTATTTACAATCTTACGGCTTACTTGAATATTCTCTATCGATCTATCTAAATGTTATTCCTGAAAATCGATCGTGTAAGTCTGGCTCGTGACTTCGAGCGAATCTAGTCTGCGGAATTCCGCGGACGTATGCGGTGGGATCGTATTCGGCGCGATCGTATCTCGCTCAGGGTTCAAACCCAACAGACGCTGACGGACTCGGTGACGGTTTGCGGCGTCCCACCGAAGCTCGCGCGATGCTGCTTGAAGAGCGCCTGGATTTCAGCGGGTGTGGAGGACCACCGTCTATGTCTGGCCTTGTCGAGAGGCACTTCCGGCAAGCCTACTTCCGTGTGGCACCCCTTGACAGGCATGACTGGCGCGGCCGTCGAAGGCGGCAGACCGACCTCCTGGAAGGAGCTGATCGAGAAGAATCCGCTCTCACCTTCGGCGCTGCTTACCGGGCTGCTGGCCGGCTTTACCTTGGTCTTGCCAGCCAAATTTCCCGGATTAGATTCCTTCTTCTCCAATCGCTTCGCGGTTCGACTGAGAGTCGAGGTTGGCGTGCCGTTGGACGTAGTTCCATTCGATGGTGTGGCAAGTGCGACGGTATCCTCCTCCTCGGTCGTTTTCGAACTGCTACTCGAGTTCCAGGAGGCGGTATCGGGCGATCTTCTCACGCCTGGTACGAAGGCGTGCAAATTTCGAGTAAACTCGGCAACGGGCGGTTTGATGAGGTTTCCCGATCTGTCGTCTTGTTGATCATTGTTGATCGATTCGTTTCCATGACCACTGCCGGGAGCATAGGTGGCTTCCTGCAGCATCGTCGAATTGGCAAAGTTGTCGTTCGGTAAGGATAGAGATGCATCGTGATGACGATGGTCTACTGTCGGAGACGGGGAGGATCCGTTGTCCTCGATCGGCGTCACTCTCGCGAGATCGGGCTCTCGCATCGCCAGCAAGGATTCGACGGTTCTCAGTAACCTGTGCGAAAATATATATTATAATTATAATATTCAGTTTAATGCATTAATCTTGATATTTTAATAAAAAGATAACGATATCGGCGTACTGATAATTATTAAAATATTTAAGGATGTTTTGTATGTACAATCCCAGCAAAAAGTAGCTGAAAATCAATATTGACGAATATCCATTTTTGATGTATGAGAAATTGTGTGGAACCTTGTGACAGACACATGGCTAACTTCATTAAATTATATTTAATATCTCTTTAACCAGTTAGTACTTGTATAATATTATTTGACCAAATATTTCCTCTGTATCTAAACTTTTGCAAATTTTCAACAAATTCTGAATATTATTTCCATGTGTTTTTGTCATTTGAATCGACGTGGTTATACGTTTCCCATAAGAACGCATGTTAATTCGGTGCAAATTAAAATTCTTACAACTTGTGACTCGATTTAAAAATTGTATTGAAGATTCTAAACATATGTAAGGACAATTTTCATTAAAGTCTCAATATTTTAAAAATAGGTACAAAACATCCTTAATAATGAAAATGACAGGGGATAAATTAATCTGCGGATTTAATGTGGAATTCTTTCAAAATCTTTCACACCTATACGCCTCCTGGGACAGCTTCTCCGGCGGCACATCGTCCGGATTCAACTCCGTCTGCTTGGGTTCGCGATAAACGACGTTATCGGGAACGTCGTTGGTCTTGTTGAGATCCTGCGATGGCTTGGCGCGTGGCGATGTGCAGTGCACCGGGTCGTTCCTCCGAAGAACCGACCAGGTAAACTCGCGGAAGCAAATAGCGCTCGGTGAGCTGATCTGCGTGACCGATTTGGCGCGCGTGAACGGCGAGGACGTCGACGAGGAGGACGACGGCGTCGCGGTACCGCGATTCGGCGACGGATCCGCGTGCACTACCGTGTGCACGCTGCGACTGCGAGGCACGCGTCTCTTGTCCTTGGGATTTTCCTTGGTGTGAAGGATCTCCAGGCTCCTGTGCACCCGGCCCAAGAAATGAGCGACCTGCTCCATCGTAGAACGGTACATTTGCCTGTTTGATTCAACCTGCGAACAAACGAAAATGATGACAACTTTTCACTCCTGCCATTTTATTACGTTGATTCATTAATATTAATCGGGGAACATATTTAATTTGAAATTGAAGAGAGAAAGAGAGAGATAAGTGCTAAAAATAGTTTCTGAAAATCAGAAAAATTGAAAGAGAAAAAAGCGGTGAAGACCATATGACAGTTTTTACATTCATGACGATTGGAAAATTAAATCGTAAAATGCGTGCGCGCGAGTTCATTCATAAAATGATAATGAAATAATAAGAAAAGTCCGACTCGACAAAAATCACACGCGGATTATTGAGGGGGAAAATTAGCCGACCGGTTGTTACGTGACGCGATATCGAATAACCGGAGCGAGGTAAACCGGTTGTGATCGTTTTATCAGTCGCTTCTTCTTCTTCTTCTTCTTCTTCTTCTTTTTCTTCTAAAGATTTTCAACTTTTCGCGCGATTACGAACCTGTTTGACCTGCCATTGAAGCGTGTCGACTCGCGCTTGAAGAAAGACGTTTTGCAGGAAGGCGCTCTGCAATCTCCGGTTTTCCTTTTTCAGCAATTGGCATTGCTGCAACAAGAAAGAAAAGAGCCTGTGTTATTTATGCACACACACACTCTTGAATCGGATTCTCAGATATTTTGAAATTTGCATCATGATGACCGTATCAACTATGAATAATTTTAAAAATATCCGAGTTTTCTATAATACTAATTTAAAAAAAGAACAAATAATAAAAGTAATTAATAAAAATAATTTATAAAAAATTATAAAAAATTTCTCAATTTTCTTAGCGAAAATATTTTTCCGGGGATCTTTTAATATTCCATCTTTAGAAAGAAACTATATTTAGCAATAAATTTCGCGGAACGGATTTTATGGATTCATTTAGTTGTCTAGTTTTATTTTACTTTGTTAGTAAGAACTCGCTCGTTTCTGTATTAATAATAATCCACTGCTTAAATAATAAATTTACTAAGATGAAATTAATTTTTGAGAAAGCAACAGGTATGGAGATAACACGGATAAGTCGTAGAGCTATTTTTCTGAAATCATAATTTTAAAGAGGAAATGCGAGATCTTACGTATACAAGATAGCGGTCCACGCGCGATAAACGAAATACCGGATGAACGCGAACGAGGTACAAAATACAGAAAATGCGAGCGTCGATAGCTTCCCGCGATTAATCACGGGACGTGTTACTGGCATGTGTGAGCGTGTTATTACAAATTTTACGCTATTCCGCTCATTGCGAAGAGTACTTATGTCGATTAATAACATGTCCGATGTTATAATGGTGGCGTTTTTAAAAGATACTCTACGTTAAACGAGCTATATAATGAGATCTTTGAGCTAATCCATCGCGCATTGGTTAATTAATTAAATTCAATCGTAATCGACATAGGCCTACAAACCTCCTTTTACTGACTTTCCTATTTTTTTTTCAATATATTCACCCTGTGTGAATTTTTAACTGAGATTTAAAAAGAGTATGTCATCTTTTTTTATATGATTTCAAAATAAATTTTTTCTATCTATACGTTAAATAAATTTTCGCGCGCGATTAATTTTTTTACTTATTGTTAGTAATTTTTCCATGTAAGTCTTGTTACTTATTATTTATTATTTTGCAATTATTATATCGTAATTTAATTAGTAGAAATAATATTATCTTGCCATGATAAAATTGATCATAATTTTGCGTGTTGATTCGTGAAGTAACTCGACAGTTTCGAGTATTGATAGTTTCGATTTAAATAATATTTCATGTCAAGAGCGATAATTAATAAACCAATTTTTGTCGCTAAAATATCACTGCGCCGATTAATTATCTTTTATAAACGATTAATTACTTTTCTGTAGTATATGACTCTTGATCAAGGATCGCCAAACTAGCGGCAAAACGAAAAAATCCACGAAAGGAGCAGCGATGGCTATTAATATCCGACGAAGCGGCGATTCATTATCCTCGCCGCATAGATTATTATGCAACCTTAACCGAGAGAGACTGGATATTCTCCATCTTGGCGTGGGATATTGGCCGGCGGATAATGTTGTCGAGTTTCCAAGAGAACGATGGTGAACGATCCATAAATCAGAAGCGAGACATTGAGAAAAGGTCACGAAGGGGAAGCCGGAGCGAATCGTTTTACGATTTTAAAAGAGGCACGCTTCATTTTCCACGTTTTCCATGGGCAAGCGACCAACGAAATTATATCTCGTCTCTCGTGACGCTGCGAAAAAATTCCGCTCGTAATCCCCGGATCCTATCATTTTATCCTTCGCATTCCTGCCTTCTTTTTCCACGCTTAATCGATATACCGTGCGTAGTTGTTGGCCGCACGCAATGAGATACCGTGCGATAGCATCCAGCGGTATCTATCGATTCCGCATCTTTCAAAGAATTTAATGAAACCGCCGGCTAAAGTCGAATAGGACGAAGGCAATTTTCTATCTAATTTCGATAGCTATCGCGGGGCACCGCGGCCGAGCATCGGGGAGGATCGTTGTAATTATTAACGGATGGCCGTAGCGTCCTTGGAGGATAGCTCGTTACAAGGATCGTCGTTGATTACATCCTGGAATGTTCGCTTTGGAAGCTCGCAATGGTGCCTTGACACAGTACTGTCTCGCGAGATTTCCGATTAATCCAATGAAAAGTCCGTCATCTCGGATTTCGAAAATCTCACAGTGAAGAGAGGAATGAATGAAAGAATCGTGGCGTAATTTTAATTCGTCGCGAGCCGCCTTAGATCTCTATCGGAGTACGAGCCGATAAAACGCGCTCCGCCAGAATGCGCGCCGCGTGCGTAAAAAACAAACTTTCGTACGAGATTGCACGCGGTATCGCTGAAACGACTAGAAACGAAGGAATAGTGAATAATTCAGGCAGTGACCGTAGCGAGTGACGTCACGATAGAGTATTCAGCCGGTGGACGGTTCAGGCTGAGCGACCATGCGTGACCCCATCCGCTCGACCGCCGCCGATGAAAATTTCAGCTTTCCGTAAATATACCCTCACGCACTCGCATCGGCAAGAAACGACGGAGGAATCACCGATTAAGGGAAAAAAATTTGGACGAACTTTCGCTTTTATTACGAGATCTCTAGACGTTTTCCAACCTTGGTCGTTTCTCGATTGCATCTGACGTTTGAGTTATTCCGCGGAGAACAGATTTTACAGTTTATCTTTGTCCATCTTTGTTACACTTGTGCCGTAATAGCGTTTAGTTTCAACATTTAGTCTTTTGTATTTACAAAGGGGACGTATCCTTGTCGCGAAAATCTGATCTAGACGCGATTCTCTCTCGTGGACGTACGGGTCTTTCAACATCTTTCATCCTGGCCTCGTTATCAGTCGGAGGCCATCACCGGATATCTCGCAATAAACACCGTCTTTTCCCCGCTATTGTATGGAAATGCTAGGTCTCTCTCGCCATGTGTTCCTCGTGCGTAGTCTACCTGTCTGCAATTACAAAGAACGGCCGAATACGAGTCGAAATACGACATTAGTCATTAGCGTCGACATCGAGTCCTCCATTGTTCCGATATTCGTAACGTTCTTTAAATAGTTCAACGTCAATGTCAACCGTTTGTCGGGTTCGATTAAAAGCTTTGGCATTCGAGATTTTATCTTTCCTGCACTTCCGCTCTTTTGTCATTATTCAATCGTTCGATGAAGATTTATAGGAAATAGTTAATTAAAAAATACTCAAAAAAAATCTGTCTCATTTTTCATATATAGGATAACAATATTTACAATTGAAAATTATAAAGAAAAAAATGTTTTACTGCGAAAGACAGAATTTGATGAAAACACATTTCCAATTCTATCATTCCCAACATAATTACTTTTCGAAAGAAGAAGTTTCCATTGAATTTTTTGCCTCTCAAAGACAGTTTAATTAATTAACATCCATCTCTCTTTTACATTCTTCAAGTTCATTAGATTTAATTAGGTCTTAATTAAGATGAACATAGTTGTAAGTTCCTCGAATCTGTCCTTTTTTCGCGTTCGGATGAAACGATCGTTCAAATTGCATCGCTCCTTTCACTTATTACCGAGCAGCGGATGCCTTCACGACCCACGCGCGAAACAAGAACGCATTCGCGTCATTCAAATCGGGGGATCGTCGATTTTTCTCCGCTCGAAAAGTTTATCCAATTTGCCGAATGCGTGAGAACCGCGCTTACTAATCCATTGGGCACTCGTCATTAAGATTTATAACGTCAAGTTTCACCTTACGTGGGAGATTTTCACACGCGGAAGGATATACGCACTGAAAGTAGCGCGGAATATTTATCACGTGCGTTGGTGTAGATATTCCCGGTTGCGTGAAGATTAATTTGTAATTTATACAAATATTACACATACACGCACAAACACACGGAAAATATACTGCTTATATTTCTCGGAAGTTCATTATTTGGAAAATAACATATGCTGTGAAACTATTCCAGGTGCTCATGGTATAAGTGAACGCTTCGAGCCATATTTCGCTTTTCTCAACTTCCGTTTATATTCTCGGAGGCTTGGCATCTTTGCCGGGATGTCTGGAAAAGAAATTGATGAAATTTTGCAACTGCTGGACATAGTCGTTGCAGATATCAAATCACGAAAGGTCCACCGCGAGTATAACGGTAGTGGTTTCGCGGATTAATTCCTAATTTCGTTACGGCTATTATTGTAATTGAAATGAAATTGCCTCGCAAAATACATATTCTCCTTCCATCCTCTGTAGAAGCCAGAAGATGTCGAATGCATTCAGTTTTCATTAAGCACCGAAAGGAGCTTGATTCTTTAAGCATCAACTTGAAAAAAAATGAGAAAGCTTTACGAGTTGAGAGAAGCAGGAAAGAGAAGGAGAGAGAAATAGAGAAGGGTAAATCTCGTACGAAGAATCCTTCGAGATTAATTTGTGCGTGCGTGGACTCGTTTGCGCCATCATAAATATTCCGGCTACGCCTGTTCTGGGCGATGCGTGTAAGACTGCAGCTCCTCGCGGGACTCGATGATTTGCCTCACGATCTATCTCTATCCATTATCCAATTAATTCATTCATTTTGCGCTCCGAGAGCTTATAAACACCGCCTCGCATTTATATACACTATCGTCGAAGAGATAGAGAAAGAGAGAGAGAGGATCGCGAAAGCATTACTCTTACATTTAATAACGTTGTTGATTCTTATTGAAGGCGGGATTAATATTAAACACGCCATTATTTATAGATTAACCGGGAGAATTTATGGGTAACTTAATTAAACGTAACAATTACGTTGTGTCAATTATATGCTTGAAAGATATCGCGATAGAATCAGAAAAAGACGCGATCGACAAAATATTTTACTATAAATAGATGCTGTTTAATTTATCATTTTGATAAAAACATGTCTTATGCGTGGACAATAATTTTTTGGAAACAACGTTAAAATTACAACAGTATTTGCGCGGATATTGGCGTGCACTTTTCTTTCTGAATGAGAAAAGAGCGAAAGAGAATGAGACGAGACTAATGAGAAAAAACTTCGGTACCGTATGAAACGGTTTCTAAACAACATTGAGAGAACG